GAATAGAATAGAATAGAATAGAATAGAATAGAATAGAATAGAATAGAGCAGAGCAGAGCAGAGCAGAGCAGAGCAGAATTCTTTATTGGCCAAGTGTGATTGGACACACAAGGAATTTGTCTTTGGTGCCGATGCTCTCAGTGTACATAAAAAGAAAAGATACATTTGTTAAGAATCATAAGATACAACAATGATAGTCATAGGGTACAAATAAGGAATCAAATCCTACTAGGAAACAAACAGTATAAATTGTAAGGATACAAGCAACAAAGTTACAGTCACACAGTCATAAGTGGGAGGAGACGGGAGATAGGAACAGTGAGAAGATTAATACTGATAGTAATGCAGACTTAGTGAATAGTTTGACAGTTTTGAGGGAATTATTTGTTAAGCAGGGTGATGGCGTTCAGGAAAAAACTGTTCTTGTGTCTAGTTGGTCTGGTGTGCAGTGCTCCATAGCGTAGGAGGCAAAGGCAGCAACTCCGAGAGCATCTCTCAAGCTTCTTTTTTTTGGCTGAGGCTTTTTCGTTCAAGAATAAAATGGTGCAGAAATCCCATTTCACTGTGAATATTTCCCTTGTTACCTGCTGGGAGGAAGAGGCTTTGGGTTATCCAAAGCAGAATATCTAGATTGGATCACAGTTTTGTTCCACAGAGTATCAACCTTGTGAACTCTCCCATTTCCTCTTTCCACTACATATTGAAAATGAACAGTGATTTTTTTTTTAATTTGATTTATATGCCGCCCTTCTCCGGAGACTCAGGGTGGCTTACAATGCGTTAAGCAATAGCCTTCATACTTTTGTATATTTATACAAAGTCAGCTTATTGCCCCCACAAACTGGGTCCTCATTTCACCTACCTTAGAAAGGATGGAAGGCTGAGTCAACCTTGAGCCTTGGAGAGATTCGAACCAGCAGTAATTGCAGGCAGCTGTGTTAATAACAGGGTGCTTAGACCACTCTACCATCAAGATTAATATAGTGCAGATATATATGTATGTATAGCACATGTATATGTGTGTTATGTATGTGTTTAGGTAGATATCCACTTTGTCTTGAGAGCAGGCAAAAGAATTTCATTTTTAATGTGGGCCAGTGGACAATAAAAGTTATCTTACAGTAGTGGCCAAAATTGTGGAAACCTTTTGGGAAAAGTTCCAATATCTCAGGGGTTGCCACAAAGAAGAGGGAGTCAAGCTATTCTCCAAAGCACCTGAGGGTAGAACAAGAAGCAATGGGTGGAAATTAACCAAGGAGAGAAGCAACCTAGAACTAAGGAGAAATTTATGACTCAAAAGTCATAAATCGAAGACAAAATCGAATTAACTACCTTGGATTTTGTATGTATAGAAGCCATCCCAGCCCTTCTTCAACAAGTCATGATTCTTTTAAAAAAAAAAAAAAAACTGGCTTAATCATAGGTGAACCAAGCACATTCTTCAATTATATTATTTCACCCTCCTATGCAACAGTCTTCTGTCCTTTCCCACTAGGTTGTATCTCTGCTGAATTTCACCCAGGGCTGTGCTTGTTCAAAGGAGAAAAAGTTAGAAATGTGGTCTCAGAGGTGTTCGCATCAGGCATCTAAATGGAGTGATGCAGTGGTAAAATCCAAATTTTTTTACTACCGGTTCTCTGGGCATGGCTTGGTGGGCGTGGTAGGGGAAGGATACTGCAAAATCCCCATTTCCTCCCCACTCCTGGGGGAAGGATACTGCAAAATCCCCCTTCCCTCCCCACTCCAGGGGAAAGATATTGCAAAATCCCCATTCCCTCCCCACTCCAGGGGAAAGATACTGCAAAATCCCCATTCCCTCTCACTCCTGGGGGAAGAATACTGCAAAATCCCCCTTCCCTCCCCACTCCAGGGGAAGGATATTGCAAAATCCCCATTCCCTCTCCACTCCACGGGGAAGGATACTGCAAAATCCCCATTCCCTCCCCAGTCCTGGGGAAGGATATTGCAAAATCTCCATTCCCATCCCACTCTGGTGCCAGCCAGAGGTGGTATTTGCCAGTTCTCTGAATTGCTCAAAATTTCCACTACCAGTTCTCCAGAACCTGTCAGAACCTGCTGGATTTCACTACTGGAGTGATGCCCATGGGAAGAAGTGGAAGTACAAGCTAGTTTTACCCCATGGGCATCTTTGCATTCACCTGTGAACCTCAGATCCAGTTTGTCTGAAATACAATTCTTGACCAGCATGCCTAATGCTTCCCAACGGAGTTGTCGATTTGGAACAATGCTTTCTATAACCTTTTAAGCTTCGTCCTCCTTGCTAAGAGAAAATGTCTCTTTGATCATTCTGTCAAAAAGGGTTTTGTGCTTCTCATAAATATGAGAAGTCCTTGTCAGCATTACCACTGAGGTGAGCCTAATTCTCACCCAGGTGCTAAACAAGGTATCTCAGCCGTCATGCTTGGAGAACTTGCCGATGCGCTACTCCTAGAGTCAATAAAGAAAGAACATTTTCAATCCATGTTTATTTACCATAAAAGATCACCCTGATAAAGAAAACATTTAAAAAAAACAGATTCAGGTAAATGATTAATGTTTTTTAAAACATAAATGTTCCTAACACAAAAAAATGAGCTGGCTCACACAGACCGCTACAAAAAACTTTTGTTTCCTGACAATCAGTAATCATCAGAAATAAGGAAACAGGTCATCCTATAATACCCCCTTAAATTTGCAGGTATTTTGTGAAGTCGTGTCTGACCCATCGCGACCCCATGGACAACATTCCTCCAGGCATTCCTGTCCTCTACCATCCTCTGGAGTCCATTTAAGCTCACTCCTACTGCTTCAGTGACTCCCTCCAGCCACCTCATTCTTTGTCATCCCCTTCTTCTTTTGCCATCAACCTTTCCCAGCATTAGGCTCATCTCCAGTGAGTCCTTCCTTCTCATTAGGTGGCCAAAGTATTTTGAGTTTGATCTTCAGGATCTGGCCTTCTAAAGAGCAGTCAGGGTTGATCTCTAGGACTGACCGATATTTATGTGGGTACAAATCTAGAAATGATTACTTAGATTTAAAATGAAGTCCAAACACAACTGAGTTTACCCAGTTACAGTTGCCCACTATGCTAAGCCATAAATGATGGTTTAGAAACCACACAGCATAACAAATCTCGGGATGGTTTAGGATGATGTGTCAACAACATCTTCCCATAATGGGGAAAGACTGTAAGGAGGTGCTCTGTCCATAAGCCCCCCAAATAATTATCTCTCCAGATTCTGCTGGAACACTACTAGTTTCCAACCCCCCGGCCCCACATACACATCCTAATCCCCCCAGATCTTGTTTTTAAACTGTTCCTACTGTGTATCCTAAAGTTCCTCCTAAGGGAGCACACATCATTTGCTGGAAATGAATAAATACTGCCAAAATCTTTCCTGGATGGATGGATGGATGGATGGATGGATGGATGGATGGATGGACAGATCGATCTGTGAAATGCATCTGATAGCATTTGTCTGAAAGTAGTTCAAACCTTTGTTGAGTCTCCTTTTTTTGGCTGACTTTAGGAAAGATTCGATATCCTTTATGTGGTGTATAGCTTGCATTTGGAATTTTCAAGGGTAACGTTCTTCACCTAATAATTTTGGCATAGAGAAAGGTTGGGAAATTTGGCACTGGTGGAGACAGACTCCTCCACTCACTAGGAGGTTAAGGCAGAGGGTGGAGGTGAGCAAATTGCCAGCAAATCTGCATAGATGTGGAGGGAGAGAAAAAGCTCATGGAGTCAAAAGCCATGCCCATCCACGGTTCATCTGAAATAGGTTTACAGTGGGAAATTACAGACACAAATCAAGCAAATTTAGTCAGTCTACCCTGTTTCCTGACCATAAACATTTAGTAAATTATTGTTGGGGGAAAGGTCATTTCTCTTTGTAGATCCTTCAGAAGAGATCTGTTTGAGATAAGATGGCCAGGTAGAGGATGTTTGTGTGTGTGTGAGAGAGAGAGAGAGAGAGTGAGTGAGTGAATGAGAGAGGGATGGAGAGAGGGAAGCAAATATATCAGCAAAACAGGATACAAATTTACGGTTTTTGCAAACTCCCAACAGGTTTGGTGTCTTTTGTTCTATTTGTGATTTAATTTAGGGACTCTGAACCTAAGCATCAAATAAACAGGTACTTAGGCAAAGAAGAAATTAACTTCACTTTCATTCCAGACTCTTCCCGATTTTTTTTCCCATAAGCCATTTCCATACAAACATTGGCTGGACTGACAAACATCAAAATAAGCACATCTTCTGTCTAAATATCTGCTCATGTGATTACTTGATTTTCATGAGCACTCTTGCCCATATAAGACCATAACCATTCTTCCCCATACAAATATTTCCTAAAACCAATTTTTTTATGGGCCAAAGTTGTGAGTCTTCATCACTTTAACCAGAGTCACCTATGTCAATATCTACTAGGCATCTTTGTTAATCTTTACCTGTTAATTTGGTAAGACTCGATGCTTAAAATTGGGGAACTAGCATCTAGATTTGATCATATTATTAACTTTTATTTACATTAATTGGTATAAACCAAACAGGGCAGATTCCAACCTTGTGGGATTGAATTGCCTTTTAAGACAACTCCAATATCCTTCAATCGGGACCTGATTCAAAAGATGTGTATTTAGAGCTGATAATTCTGAATTCAGAGAAGTACTTAGTATCTCCATTCATTTAATGGACTACTTTAAATGAATGGAGATCATAGCCTGCTTCATTTTAGCAATATAATTTATGGTATTAGGAAGCTACTACTGTTATTACAAAAGAAAATATCAGGAGACAGAAATTCTTCCCTATCTATCACAGGTTGTTGAGAGATCGGCCATAAAATTATACCTATTCTCTGTTTGTGTCTAATATACAACTTTGACGGATGCTGTTTTTATTAGCCTTTATAAAGTGAATCAAGGGCTGAGTTTACACATGTATGTTTATTGTTCAGGAGCTGCAACTTCATCTGATGACATGCCAGTGAGAAATAGCAGACCAAGATCAAATACTGTGGGAGAAACAACTACCAAAACAAACCAGAATGAAGGAGAAAAGTGATAGGTAAGTTTGGACTTTTTCTTGGTTTCTGTTATAATTTTAACCCACAGACCAACACAAGGGGCCTGCAGCGGTGATATCATCAGCATTGATTAGGATGAATTATTCAGCTTCTAAGTGTATTGCCTGTTCATTGAGCTCAGTCAAGCAAGGATGCATTAAGATGTATCTAATTTAAGATTAATTAGGGGAGTCAGTTTGTTATAGTGGTTAAGGCACTGAGTTCTACTTTCATCTTGGGCAAAAAAGCCCAAAAACCTTGGGCCAGTCCTTCTCTCTCAGTGAAGAAAACTGCAGGGACTAGTCTACGCAGTTGCTAGTTCTCATGACAAGAAGGGAGAGGAGAGGAGAGGAGAGGAGAGGAGAGGAAAGGAAAGGAAAGGAAAGGAAAGGAAAGGAAAGGAAAGGAAAGGAAAGGAAAGGAAAGGAAAGGAAAGGAAAGGAAAGGAATGTTGAAAGATGATCATCATCAAAATATTCCCATTTTACCACTGGATTTTAGTAGCATGAGTAGAAACTTCATCTTAGATGAGATGGTGTTTATTAAAATTCGAAATTACTAGGAAATCACTCATGGATCTGTTTTTCGCTCACTTCCTTATTGGAGATGCTGGAGGTGGCAGCTCCTGATCTATTTCTAGGGCTATATTAGAAAGGGAAAATGTGATACAGAGCACAGAAACAGCAGTACAATCCTAGGAAAAGACAACTTTGATTTAAAGAGCTGCTGACGGGTAAAATCTGCACACCCACGCATGTTCCAAATCAGCTTTTTCCCCTTGAATCCAGACGGCTGCAGAATCCCGGTTATTTTATTTTTTTTCTCCCTTTATATATTTTCCAATAATTCTGAAGCCTCCCAGGTTGCTTGTATTGAAGAAAGGCCCTTGGGAGGAGTTTCCTCTTCATATCATACTTTGGGATTTAATGGAAATGTGTTACAGACCCCTGGAAAGAATATTGTGTTTTAAAAGATAAGGATGTTTTTTTAAAAAAAAAAAATTCCTTGGACCACTTAGGAACTACAGAAATGTATGAAGGCCATGATCTACTTGTGTGAATTTCACTATTCTCTTCTTTGAAAGAAATGGGTTGGAACCTAAGGCAAGAGTTTGCAAGTGCTGGATTCATGCCTTCTGATCTATATAGAAGAATATTTTATTCAGTTAATTGTGATTAGACACGCAAGGAATTTGTCTCCTGTACAGAAACTGTACATGCAAAGCAACAGAGTAATAATAATAATAATAATAATAATAATAATAATAATAATAATAATAATAAAAAATAAAAATAAATAAAATAAATAAATAAATAAAAATAAAAACTTGATCCACAACACACCTGACATAACAATAGTTGAAAAGAAAAAAGTATGGTTCATTGACATTGCAATACCTGGTGATGCACGAATTGAAGATAAGCAGCAAGAAAAAATACCAGGACTTACAAATTGAAGTTGAGTGACTGTGGAAAAAGAAATCGTGTGTTGTCCTGATTGTAATTGGAGCCCTCGGAGCAATACCCAAAGGGCTACCCCGCTATTTAGAAATTCTAAATTTGCCGGACTTGAACATTTTGACTCTACAAAAAACCACCTTACTCGGAACAGCTTACATCCTCCGACGATACCTTAACAGCTCCTAGGTCCTTGGTTAGGACTCGAGCTGCTGAGCTATTAACCAGCCTCAAAGGCTGTGAATCTCACTAAAGATTAACCAATAAATAATAATAATAATAATAATAATAATAATAATAATAATAATAATATATGAGGTGATTGTTCCTAATCATGGGGACATCTAAATGATAAATTGGTGCAGAGAATTAGGAAGGCGAATAGCAATAGCCCTTAGATTTATATACCACTTCACAGAGCTTTACGGCCCTCTCTAAGCGGTTTACAGAGTCAGCATATTACCCCCAACAATCTGAGTCCTCATTTAAATTTACCAACCTCAGAAGGAAGGGAGGTTGAGTCAGCCTTGAACCTCTGACAGTCAGCAATACTGACTGTCAATACTGCATTCTAACCATTGCGTCATCACGGTTCCTACCTGATAGAAATAGTCCTAGAAATAGAAATAGAAGGGTGGGGGGGGAGGTAGGGGGGTGATTTTGTTATATTGTAGTATATTAATTTATTTGATTCTTTTTGTTCGCTTTTATTGTTTGAAATGTGGTTTTATGTTCTGTAAGCCACCTTGAGTCGTCATGGGCGAATAGGCAGCAATAGAAAATAAATAAATAAATAAATAAATAAATAAATAAATAAATAAATAAATAAATAAATAAATATTGCATAAGAAAGAGGGATTAAAGCCCTAAGTGTTTGTTTTTGTTTTTTCTAAGTCAGGAAAACTACTGAAATAAAACCTCAAACTTCTCCGCACTCTCAGGATTAAATTCTACATTCTGAGAAGCATCAAAATATTAGTAATGGGAATGGAGATGTTTTCTCTGGAGAGTATTAATATTTACATATTACCAAGACCCAAAAATTGCTGGCAATAAATGAGGATCTCAGTAGAACTGGTTTTTCCCACATATTTGCCGTAGTATTATGACAGTAGATTTTTGGGTGGGGGGGGAAATGTAGTTTAATTAATTTTTGCAAATGTTTTTAATCAAAGGATCCCAAACTGAAAATCTATTTCAGAGCAAAAAAAAATCAGAAGGGATCAGAGCTCTGCTTTCTAACTGATCCAACTTGTCTGATCCAAGAGATGCTTTTGATTACTGATATTTAAATAGCAATGTTCTACTTACATGATTTTACAATGCCATTCTAATTTGATTAGGTTTACTTTCTGGGTATTGTTGCATGTCCTCTCTCTGGAGTACCACAAATGAATTTCCTGCTGACATTCCTGTCAGCCACAAGCAGCCAGAATCACTGGGGAGTAGTCTCAAGCAGAAGCTTTATTGCTAGACACTTATGTTACAAGAATCTCACCAGATTGACTGCATCCCCTTGGGAATGGTCCGATAAGACTTCAGGGATTCTGGGAGTAGACAGGCCTGTGCTGCCTTCTGCAGTGCAAGGACTCTAAGCTCGACCCCCTCTTAACAACTTCCTTCAATCTAACTGGAGATTCCACCACATCAGTATATTTTATTATGTTGTTTTATGTTGTGTTGTATTGTACTGTACTGTACTATAGTGCACTGCACTGCATTGTATTGCATTGTATCCGGGGTGCCCAGTTCCTTGGTGGGTGTGGCCATGGTGGGTGTGGCCTACTCAGCCTCCTGCATCACAGAGTGGGGGGGTTCACCCTCCTCAAGCTCCGGAGGCTTCCCTTGAGCCTCCGGGAGGGTGAAAACGATCTCCCCTGGGCTCCAAAGACCCTCTGGAGGCCAGAAATGGGCCCATTTTCGGACTTCCGGAACTTCTGGGAGGCCTGTTTTTCACCCTCCCAGAGCCTCCACGCGGCGCTGCACTTATCTGGCATCCAAAATGGGCTGCGTGGAGACTCCTGGGAGGGGAGGGGAGCGGAGGGGAGGGGGGGCAAAGCCAGCCAGTCCTTGCAACTACCGCGAACCAGATGTAAAATTAGCATCTGGTTCACCCAAACCAATCCGAACTGGTTGAATCCCATCCCGGATTGTATCCAATTGTACTTTTATTTCATTCTCCTTGGCTGCTTAATCTAGATTTCAAGACAGAAACAAATGCTGTATTTCCATGCTGAGTGCTTTAGAACCCATATTCTGTGTCTTGAAAACATTTTCAATCTGTCTTTGCTTTAAAAAAAAAAAAATCCTACTCTTGGATTTGAAAAAAAGATTAACAGACCTTTTTCCCCCCTAGCGTCACCAATAAGGCATTAAAGAAATTGAAAAAGAAGACGACTAGAAAGGGGAATTCCAAGTACGGAAACCAAAGCAGAATACCTTTAAAATGCACAAATACATACAATTTTTTTTTTCTGGACCGCTTCCAAATGCCATGATCTTTCGTTATCGTGCACCAGAAAAATGAGCAAGAAAGAAGCTGTACAGACCTCTGCCTTCTGTCCTCAACAGAAAAATTAATAATGATGAGTATCATGATAAAATTCCCATTATGTAGTAGGTAAATGTGGGGAAGGGAGTTTGACAGTGGGTGGTCAAATTTATATTTTTAAAGGGTTATATTTTATAAGTGTTTCCTGGCAACTTGCCAGAATTATTTTCTTTTAAAAAAAATAGATAACTGAATGTATAAAACCCACCTTTATTTCACTCCCTCTTTTTTTAAAAAAAAAACATGTTAGAATCACACACCTTGAATTGTGATCAGGGATCAGAATATTACTTCTGTACAGAAATGTCCGTGGTTTTCCAATTAAGACTTCTGGAATCAATAAACGAATAAATAGAAAGTGCTATTGTTGAATCTTTGTTTATTTTTAAATCCTCTTTTTAAGCTGAAAAAGTATTTGGAGTAACTAAAATATACTGCAGGCAGCCATTTCTGACATGCAAAAGGCTTTTTTCCCCAAACGGGACTAAACAGCACACATGTATGATGCATATGATTAGATCCTCTTGCTGTCTTCAGGATGATTTCAGATATAACTCCCATCTATGACAACCAGCATTGAAAACATTTAAATCCACGTAAATTTAAAACATTTAAAAACTATTCTAGTTGACTTTCATCATTACAGCTGTTGGGGTCAAACTGCGCATTTCCTACATGGAAAAAAGTATTTCCTTCATTCAGTTGGTCCTGGATCTTTCTGCATTGAGATCCAATGACTGTCTGGTTTGGTTCTGCAACCCAACAAGACAGACACAGACTTCAGAGGATAATTAGAACTGCAGAAAAAACAATGGCTACTAACCTGCCTTCCATTGAGGACCTGTATACTGCACGAGTCAAAAAGAGGGCTGTGAAAATATCTACAGACCCCTCGCATCCTGGACATAAATTGTTTCAACTTCTACCCTCAAAACAACACTATAGAGCACTGCACACCAGAACAACTAGACACAAGGTCAGTTTTTTCCTGAAAGCCATCACTCTACTAAACAAATAATTCCCTCAACACTGTCAAACTATTCATTTAGTCTGCATTACTATTAATCTTCTCATCGTTCCTATCACCCATCTCCACCCACTTATGACTGTATGACTGTAACCTTGTTGCTGGTATCCTTAAGATTTATATTGACTGTTTCCTAATATGATTTGATTGCTTATTTGTACCCTATCACTATCATTAAGTGTTGTACCTTAAGATTCTTGACAAATGTATCTTTTCTTTTATGTACATTGAGAGTGTACGGACCAAGACAAATTCCGTGTGTGTCCAATCACACTTGGCCAATAAAGAATTCTAGTCTAGTCTAGTCTATGACTGACTTTGAGACCAGAACTTTTGAGACAGGGAGAACACCTTTCTGTAACATGCTATTTAGGCCATGTATGATGTAATGGTTTCATTATATACTGCATTCAGTTTGACATACTGCATTCAATTTTGGTCACCATGATGTAAAAAAGATGTTGAGACTCTAGAAAGAGTGCAGAGAAGAGCAACAAAGAGGATTAGGGGACTGGAGGCTAAAACATATGAAGAACGGTTGCAGGAACTGGGTATGTCTAGTTTAATGAAAAGAAGGACTAGGGGAGACAGGATAACAGTGTTCCAATATCTCAGGGGCTTCCCCAAAGAGGAGGGAGTCAAGCTATTCTCCAAAGCACCTGAGAGCTAGACAAGAAGCAATGGGTGGAAACTAATCGAGGAGAGAAGCAACTTAGAACTAAGGAGAAATTTCCTCACTGAACAATTAATCAGTGAAACAACTTGCCTCCAAAAGTTGTGGGTGCTCCAACACTGGAAGTTTTTAAGAAGATGTTGGATAACCATTTGTCTGAAGTGGTGTTGGGTTTCCTGCTTCAGCAGGGGGTTGGACTAGAAGACTTCCAAGGTCCTTTCCATCTCTGTTATTCTAAATTCTAAATGGTTATTCTAAATTCTGATTGTGTCTCTCCTTCATTCCACACAAAATGATTACTATAGACTTTCTTCGTTGATGATAATCAAGGGATTAGAGAGTCAGATGGCAATAGTATATCACAATGTACTGATGATGTTACTTCTGCAAGCAAACAACCAAGTTTAGAGAGCACCAAGAACTCCACCATTCAACCCTGCACTACAGATGTTCTCCTCTGTTAGGGAATGAACTCTGCTAGTCACTTCTCCCATGATTGCAACAAGATGGAAATGTTGACAGCAAATGACAGTTGAGGGAAAGGAGAAACCATATGGAATCTTCCTCTGCTTTACAATAAAATATATATTATTCCATAGAGGATAACGTAGCTAAATACAAATGCATTTTAAATCCTATTTGCAAATCTTGGTTGTAATACTATTGAATGCAGCTGGAAAACTGATGTTGATCCCTGCATTGGAAGAATCAGCCATTTTCAGAACAGGAACATGATTTCATTTCCTGATTGAATTTTGGCTCTTGTGAAATTTCAAATCTCCCAGTTGTTGAGGTATGCAAACCCAAACACATTCCACCGAATGCAGACACAATAAGAAATTAAGTAAGTGCTGTTGTCTAAAAACAATGGTTTATAAAATAACTAGAACATCTTCAGCATGGCAAAATGTTTCACTCTGGAATGGTATTGTCAGTTTTGTCAGTTTTGTGGCATACCAAGAATTTTATTTCCAAACAGGGAAAACAGTGTGGTTAATTGAGAAATCAAGAATTGAAAATTAGAAACAGACAGTATGCATTACAAGGTAAGATTGTATATTTCACTGCAGTTTAATTTGGATAACTAAAGGATAGCACTACTGAAGGTTTTGGTTTTTTTTAGACAAACAAACATTTAGTACATCATTCATTTCTTCCATGTGACATCTCGGTGTTATCTCCAAAAACTTCTTCTTTTCTATTATCTCTTCTATCTTCGTTCTCGCCAAATCCATTACAAAAATTTCCCACTAATCTAATATTCTAGTTGTAACATATTTTATCTATCTCTATTAAAGCTTATTTATATCTTTTTTCTAATCAATAGTAAGATTGATTCCATATCTTAAAATATTCTGAGTCTTCTCTTTCTTTTGTCTTCATAGTTAATCTATTCATTTCTGCACAATCTAAAAAAATTTTAATTACTTCTCCCTCCGATGGTATATTCTCTGCTTTCCAATTTTGTGCATGGACAATCCTCCTTCATTTCCTTTAAACATCTGTTTTAAAACAATACTTAACAAGATGCTACTGCCAGTGTGGTGTGGGTAGAGCTAAATTCAAAACAGTGACATAGCAGCGGGATGAACAGCAAACATATTTAATAAATAAACAAATAGTTCTAATATGAAAAATTATAAATAATGCAGTGGTACATTTGACAATTAGTTACCTGCATCCAACTTCTTATACTACTTTTCAACATTAGAAATTAGTCTTTTCAACATTAAAAATTATGTATAAAAACGAATTGTATCAAGGAAAGTAGCTTACAAAAAAATAATGCATGTTAACATTTACTTTAGACCCCTTGCCTAGGTTGAAAATGTGATTGAATTATGTGAAGCATAAATGATGAAGTATGGAATAAAATGTACAATTGGCTGGAAAATAGAAACCAAAACAGGAAATGTTTAACTTAGTACTGATGAAACTTAAACTGGAGCAATTGAACAATATTAAACAAAGAAATGTAAATATAAATGAATATAAATTGGTGGATAAGAACAATGAATACTACTATGTGTGTTAATATATACGTTGATGTAACATTATATTACTACCGAGAAGTAAATAGATATGATAGAATAGAGAGCTACAAAAGCAAAATACACATGCCAATACAGAAAGCTGTAAAATGACCTTAGATGGTATGTATTATTTGCTGTGTTTTGTTTTGTTTTTATGTACCTGTGGTTGTTTTTTATGCTGTTTTTAAAGACAAAACTGTTTAATAAAAAATATTTTTTAAAAAAAGAATTATGTGAAGCAAAATCAAAGACCGAAATCTATCTCCACCCACCCACCCACCCACCCAATCTCGTCCTGTTATAAACCATCTATAACCCACAATAATTCCATGTTTTCCTTTCTTACCCCCCAGATCTCAGCTTCCAACACTAGGAGACATCAAGGTTACTAATCATGTGAATTCTACCATTCTATAGACTCAGAAACAGTAATCGAGTGGTATGAAAAGTATTTTTTTTCCCCTACATACATTTTTTTTCCTTGCATGAAGATGATGCGATGCGAAAGCATCTTAGTTTGGAGAGGAGCCAGCCATCTGGGAACCCTTTGCACGTACCTGAAATAGAATCAGAGGAGGGCATATTGAGGTGAGTAGCTTCCTGGTTTTACCTGAAAACTTGGTTGGTGGCTGGAGGCCACTTGAACTGCTGCCAAATGAAACACCTGCCTCAATTTGGATGCCTGCCAGTTTTATATCAGATTCTATTACTTGAGTTATGGTGTCTGCAGACCTCTTTCATGCCTTGTTGTTGTACATCTTTTTCAAGCTAACGCTTCACTGAAAGATGTTTGAAATCTGAAGGCTTACACATCCACCCAATTCCATCCATTCGATCCAACTTCCTACCACACTCATTGCTCCAACATTGCCACATTAGATCCAAGAAAAAAAATTTATCTGATTTCACAACATGGGCTTGAATGAGTAAATAACTACAACTTAAAAATGAACTTCTTGCTAATCATTCCACAAGAATCTATTGATGCAAGTATAACTCTCATGGAAGTTATTCCCAGATTCCTTTTTTTCAGAATATAACACCAGATCAGATGTATGTCTAAGATTGTCATGAAGATAACTAAGGCAAATTCAGCCTTTATAAAACAATGCTTAGCTCCCACAGGTACATTTTGCATTTATCATTTACTTTCTGACAAGAATTAGAGAATAGTTATAATTTTTTTCACTGTCTTGCAACAAAAATCTGATATACTTCTCTATTCACCCTGGGTCTTCGGAGAGGGTCGGCATATAAATTGAATAAATAAAATAAAATATTCCCATGGATCAGAGAGCTGATAACATCTAAGGATACAGGAGCTGACAGGTAACAGCATTTCTGTTCTATTCTACAACCCCTATAAAATTATTGTTATTGCTATGGTGGCCATGAAATCCTGAACTTCACTCAATAGTATACAGTACAGACTTTGGTGTGAAGACTTGACTCTTCCAGGACAATAAGCTCTAAAGATCCTAACATTTAAGAAGGTGGCATCCAGCACAGGTTTTATTTTTTATTTTTTTGCAAGTCACATAAATTTAATAAATAAATAATGAAGTTTTCATTTTGCTCACCATCACCCATCATAGCAATAGCATCTGGCCTTATATGCCGCTTTA